TCCTCTTCTTCTTCTCCAAACATATAAAAATCGTCTCTATTTTCGTAATTAGGCCATGTTGATTTGATTATATGGATGACATCTACGCGCGCATGAATTTTCGGCCGTTTCCAAAAAAAAAAGTTTCCAACCACACTGTAAATTGTACAAAACAGTTGCAAAATGAGCAAATATATACCGAAAGTTGCAAAAAAAATATTTGAAAACGATTCCAACGTCGTAGAATGCCAAAATCAAACAAAAAACTAAAATGCAAAGAAATGAATTTAAAAAGTAGATTATTCGCCATACCATACTTTTGTGTCATTTGTTCGACCTTCATAACAACATAGATTTCATGAAAGCAACTTTTTTTTTGCAAAACTTTTTTTTTTATTCGCGCGCTCGCATCAGTTTTGGGGTTCCCAGAGGATGTCATCCATATAATCAAATCAATATGGCCTTAGAGCCTAAAAGCCAATGAAATTCAGCATGCTGGTAGGTTGGTACGTAAGACACTGAACCCCTGTCATTTTGGCCAACATAGATGTAAAAAAAATGATTTTATTTGCAAAAAATGGGTGAAAAAAGTTGCATTTTTTTGAAAAATCGAACAAAAAGAACGCGTTTGGAACACTAGAATAACCATGGAACAGCATTCGAATTCCGAGTTCCACAACCGCGGGTCAATGACCCCAGCGCTACGGAACAATTTCCAAATATGGGCATCCGCCCTCGTACGACACGGGAAGAGATCGGTGGACAAGTGTCAGAGGTAAGTTTTCCTCTGTAAAATACGGCCATATGAATACCAGTCTCGAGTAGAGAATATTGCATTGGGGTTTTGGGTTCAATATAATAACCACAAGTATAATACAGTACAGTTCATGGGATAAACATCAAATCGGGATATCCCGCGGGATTTTTCGGGAACCATGTTGACTAATATTTTTACAGACAGACGGTGCGGCGCATGTTTGTTTCCAAATTATGCATGATGATAACAGTAGCACAAACGAATAGTGTTTTTAATCAAATGTTTTTTTTAATATCGAAAATTTTAGTGGCTTAATAATGTTTAGAACGATAACAAAATAATACAACCTTCTATAATAAGTGCAATAGCTCAATTGGTAGAGTGCTCGCTTTGCAACCGGGAGGTCGTGAGTTCAAACCCCGGCCGGGTCATACCAAAGACTTTAAAAATGGTACACACTTCTTTCTCTGCTTAGCACTCAGCACATATGAGAAAGAATGTGGGAAGGTCAAACACACAGCACTACCAGCGGACCAGCCCCCTGCTGTAGTGCATTGCACAATTGTGTGTCGCCCAAGGGCTACGAAATGGAGATGGGCACCACCCTACGCTCGGGCAAGAGCACGGGAGACCTTCTTCTATTAGCCTTCTGTCATGTATTTGTAATAATAATAAACGTCATGTTTCCTATTTACAAAAATGTAAGAAGGTTGTGAGACGAGCTCAACAAAGTCGTTTTGTAATTAAAGCTGTCAAAAAGACTTGAAGTTTACTTGCAGTCTGCAGAGGATGTCATTAATTAAAGTTATACATAAAAGTCAGTAATGTAAGCAAACCATCCTTCTGTTCTACCCATCCTTTCCTAATAAAGGTATAACGTCAAATCGTAGGCAAGACAATCCTGAGGTAAACATATTGCATTTTCTTGCAAATGTTACCTTTCTAGTTATACATTTTTCACTGCGAGAATGCAAATTATAAGAGGTCATTTGCATATATCAGTTGATCATATTCTCCACCCAATGACAGGGTTATCTGAAGAAAAAAGGCTATCCCAGGCTGGGCTATCCTAGCGTTTCCTCATAGATTATGCAAATGAGGTCCTGATTTGAATAAATTATGTTTACTGATGTTCACCTTCACTGAACTTCCAATTATGGCAAGTATTAAATTCCCAGCAGTTACCACCATAAAGTTGTACCAACTTTCCGAATAATTATGCAAATTAGGTCCCCATTTACATAATCAATATCTGCCAATGATCTTCTCGTTCTCAATTACATATGTCTAAAGTGTTTCATAGCCCTAATATGGAATACAGCAGATTTATAGAATTTCCTTATTAATTATGAAAATTAAATCCTGATTTGCATAATTGTATCTTAATTTTGCCCAGCATCACTCAGCTACTTACATACCAAAAATCACGTTGATCCATCAACCCGTTCTTGAGTTATCCTCCTTTGAAGATTTTTCAACTAACGCTCCTGCAGTTCCAGAACAAGACGCTAGGGGGCCCAAACTCATGTCACTTCTTTCCTAGCCCATGAGCTATACCACTGAAAATTCGTGACCCTAGCATGTCCAGATCACGAGATATAAAAACCGAAAGTTCTGCTGCAGTACCAACAAAAGCCGCCAGGGTCTCATCAAGACCTACCCACCTACCATGTAACGTTACCAAGTTTCATGACAATGCATATAAAGCTTCTTGAGTTATGCTGTTCACAAACAGACAGACGGACACACAGACGGTCATACGCTACTGAAAACATAACCTTCTTTGCGAAGGTAAAAAGATGATACCACACCACATATAACACGGGGCGCCGGGGTCCCATACCGTTTCACTGCATCACCAAAAGTGCAGCTAAAATACCCCAAGACACCACTAACAAATCTCGGACGGAAATTCAAACAAATCCATTGCCCCCACCTTCACCCCCCCCCCCAGCCAAAATTCATCCTTCGTATGTTAAAGGCCCGGTCACACTGGCGGAACTTTGCTGGAGCGTTGCTTGAACGGTGAATAAAATTCATCACCGCTCGAAACCGCTCACCACCGCTAAACAGAAGTTGGCCAACGTTAAAGCAACGCCGTGTACGCCCGGCCACCGCTGACGTTTCTGGAGGAGCCCTCCTACCGCTCCGAAAGTTTTGAGCTGCACAAAATATTGCGAGCGGTGAGGAGGAGGAAATTTTCCGCTCCGGCAAAGTTCACCCCCGCTCCACCAACGCTAAGTCAAAGTTTGGCATCGCTAGACGCAAGTTCGTGGACGCTTGGGTCCGTTAGGCCAACGCAGAAATCTTGAACGCTTGACCACCGCTGCTTCGCCAGCGTTGCCCGGGCGGCGATTAAACGTTGCACAAACGTTGCACAAACTTCGTTGGAGCGGTTGCAAGCGTTTTACGAGCGGACACGGGGTTGCTGGAACGGTGTCAGGCGTTGAAGCAGCGATCCATGTCGGCAATGAACTTTGGTTTGGCGTTGGTATAGAGGTGTCGGAGCGGGACCAGAATTTGGCTATAAGTACGGTGAGAAATGGACCAGGTGCTCATTTGGAATCGAGCTGCCGTTGAGTTCAGGCCTCATCTTTATGGAATTTGCCCGAAGTTACAGTAAAGCTGTATCACCCTGGATGCCGAGAGACTTGCTATGATTGGTGCACTAGTGTGCAATTATTTTGGGGCCACACGTAAAATGTTCATAGAAGGGTCACACGGGCAATTATTTTATTGGGGTCACAGGGGAACTTTGCAATCTGCAAAGTTTTATTTTCATTATTAATTAGATAACGTAGTCAAGAATAGATTAACAAAATGATGTTTATTAAAGCTATAAGTCCCCACACACACAGAACAGAACTTGTACTACTACAAAACGATCCGTTCAACTCCGTAGTCACAAGCGGTATGCCGCTAAACCGCATGCGCAGAACGCCGCTATACCAACGCTTGCGTCACCGCTATACCAACGTTCGCTACCGCTAAACCAATGCTAAAGCAACGTCGGCTTCAGCGGTACACCGCTAAGCCAACGCCCGTGTTTTCATTATTTCCCCCCACATTTTGGGCGCGGTGACGAGCGTTGTCGAAATTCGGTCCCCGTCCCTACCGTTCAAGGAACGCTCCGGCAAAGTTCGCCCAGTGTGACCGGGCCTTTAAGGAAGAACCATGTGGCGTGGAACGATAGTTACGGTGGATGCCAACTCAGGACTAGTCACCACCAGCTCTCCATCTGGTCCCATAGCGATCCCAGACGGGTCTTCAATGTCCGCGATGGTACGGACAAACTTCCCGCTGCTTGTGAACATGTCTACCCGGTGGTTTTCATTGTCTGCCACGATGATGTTACCAAACTTATCCAGGCAAATACCGTACTGGCGCTTACTCCTTCCGGCAAATTCAAATATCTTGACTCCGGAGTGACTGTACATCTCAACAGCTTCATGCATAAGTGTAAGCAGTATATTTCCCTCGCCATCCGATGTGACTCCTCCGATCATACCTCCCTCACTACCTGATGACGCTTTAAAACTCCGATACAGAGAGCCGTCTGGATCAAACATCTTTACTGTATTTCCCTGTCCGACGATGATTTTATTGTTGCGCACGTCTATTGCAATGGAGGGCAGGGGAAAAGGTTTCGTGACGCCTACGTCGAACTTCTTCATGGCCTGACCACTCTTACTGTACGTTACAACCTGCACATGTCCCTCATTCGCACTGGACTCCAAGTCCAATATAGCCCCCACTACCCACAGGTGGCCGGGCTCTATACCAATAGCAACATCATAAGGCATGATAAAGCCATTTTTACCCGGCAGTACCGTTAGGAAGCGGCGAAGATAGTTTCCATTTATGCTGAAGACGTGGACTCCTTCGGCATGAGTCACAAATATATCATTGTCAGCGGACACGGCGACTCCGAACGCATATTGCATGCTAGGTTCTTTTCCTTCTCCTCCAATGGTAATAATGTTCTCCAACTTCCTGTCACCACTTTCTAGGAGTAATAAAAAGAAGCGCATTTCCTATACTCAAATGTGGAATATTTTTTTAATACATACAAACTTGCACACATACATGTACGGACGTGCATACACACACGCACACACACACACACACACACACACACACACACACACACACACACACACACACACACACACAAACACACACGCACACACATGCACACACACCAACCACTAAGTATCTGATACCAGCCCAGAAAAGAACAAGAAACAGTCATGCCTTCAAAAAAATAGAGTTATCAACCAAGAATTGAGGTATTCGAAAACTCGTATTTCCCCACAACTATCGTAGACTAGAACTCGTTGCCACCAAGCACTGTTGGGGCATCACTAGAAAGCTACTATTATATTAAAAAAAACCTCCTTAACTAGAGAGGCCGACATTTGCTTGGGAGCAAATACAGCATGTTTCAGTCCATCTCCCTCCCACGCAAAAGTGGACTATTCCAAACTTACCCCAGTGTAAAACTGGCAAAGATTCTCAAATAAATGAATTATATAGTAGCCATGTAATTGAGAACAAAGATGCAAGAACAAGCACATCTCGAAAGCTTTACTAATCTTCTTACAGGTATGCAAATACTAACAATGATGAGATTTGTATACATTTTGAAGGTCTTAGGCACATAAAATTGAATGTGTGGGTCATTACGCACGACTTACGTGCAATGTGACCTCAGGTAACCCGCAATGGAACATGTGTTCCATGGCCAAC